AACCTTAACGTTTTAGATTATTTAAGACGGATCTAATAACAACAAACAATCAACTATAAAAAAATAAAATAACAATGCAAGATTATGGTATTAAAAAGTATTACTTAAAAATATATTAAATATTCTAGAATTTCATGAGGAAAGGTTCAACGATACTCATCTTTCAACAGAAGTTGCTAAAATTTGTTAAATATTCTAGAATTTCATAAGAAAATGTTCAACGATACTAATATTTCAAAAGAAGTTGCATGTATTCGATGAATTAAGAGGATGTACGGCCTCCCCATTTTTTTCTCATTGAATAAATCAATAATTAAAGTGTTAGAGAGGAAATGTGGCGTTCTTTTAATGGACCGAGTAGTCTTAAGACAAAGCATGTCTTCCCGCAGCTCATTGCATGAATTCCAGAATTCTAATCTCCGGCCAGTCCCATGGTTGTGTCCTACTTAAGAATTAAAAATATTTGCTAGAATTAGGTCATTTTCCCCCAATTGCACCCACATTCACGTGTAGGTCACGGGCAATGAATATGATTTTTTTTTATAGCTTTCCTTTTTAGTCGAATTTTTATTGTCTATGACATAAATTCAAGTTTTAAAGATAAATATGAAACCCTTAATAATCATAATGAGATAGAATACTAATAAAAACAGAAGGATCTGCGTCGTGGAGATTATGATGGATGGGGCAAAATTTGAATAAAAAAATATTATTAGAAGGAAAAAAGATATCTGTGTGGAGAACCCACCACATCACAAAGCGCGTGGAAGTGGAGCCCACGAGTTTGATTTTTGGAACACGAGATAGCGCGAGGTCGCAGGCGTATCAATACGGAGGAAAGGAAGCAAGAAACTAGCTCTTAGCTTTTTCACACTTGTTGACTTTTCTTCGAGTTTTGAATGTTCCATACTTTGGTTTTTTTTTCCAATTCCTCTTTGATTATTTGCGCAAATTCCAAATCTGGTGGCTTGAAAGATTCAAATTTTTAAATTAGATGATGTTTGTATTTGAATTGGCCTACCTTTAGCTCTTTAATTTTATCAACAAAATGATGACATCTCGATTGACATTTTCATATTTGACCATAATCTATTTGGCTGTATTTCTATTGCTACGTACCAATACCATGGCACCATCTATCTAATGAGCTATTTGCTAATCGGTATGTCATTGACTAATTGCATTCATATAAACCTGAGAGGAAAAAAGTTGACATAGGTGGGCCCTGCGATTTGGGCCACCAACACTTATTTAAGGAAGCCTTGAAGTGATTTTGATAATGCAGTTTCGTTTCACACTTGATTTGAATATGAATATGAATATGAATACGATTTCTTTTTCACATAAATTTGTAAAAAAAAAATTTTTTGAATGTTACTATACTAAAATGATTAAAAAAGATGTGGTCTCAGTGCAGTTACTAACATTCGTTAGCTGCATTTGTTGTCCGGTAGGCCCAACTTCTAGTGGACCGTGGATGTCATCAGCATAAAAAAGTCATGTGTAACGTGGCATTTTCTCTGCGTTTTTTGCTGCATCAACTGCTAAAGGATGCAATACTTGTTTGAATCACGTGCAGGGCATAATTATCATAGACTTAAATCATTATTTTTTGTTTCCGTTGGCATTAATGTTGGGTGATCTCGAGGTAGTTATAACATAAACACTTTGAATATAAAGAAAAAAATATAAAATTAATAATGCATTAATTGAGGTAAGTTTCAGATTAAAACATAATAGACTAAATATAAAGAAATATATAAAATTAATAATGATCAAATATAAATTTATAAACAATCCAGTAAACATCTAAACATTATTTATTTGTGAAATTTATTCAATGAAAAGGATAATATATAAAGTAAAGACTATTTTTTTTGTAAGAAACATGAATGAATTAATTATAAAATGGTATGATACATAGTCTGTCCAATTTCATTAGCGATGATTAAATCTTTAACAAATGAAGGAGGTTCACTAAACACCACATAATTAGCCTTGTAATGACTAAAACTATTATAACAATTGCTACTACGAAATTGGGCAAGGGCGTCAGCACACCTATTCCCTTCCTTAAACACATGAAGCATGCGTTAATCTTCAAGATATTCCATTAACTTTCTGCAATCAGAGATCAGAGGGAGTATCACAGGATCAGTCACCTGATGATTCTTAATCATAGAGATAACAGTTGTGGAATTGAGTTCAATTTTCAACTTGTGGATATTGAATCTTTTTGCCAAAAATAATCAATATTTGAGAGCTCACAATTCAACCAAAATATTTGAACACACCCAAATATATCTAAAGGAACTAGAAATTCATTTTCCTTCACTGTCTCGAATAATGGCTCTAGCTCATGCTTTCCCAGAGTTACCCAATGTCAAGCCATCTGTGTTTAATTTATACCATCATTCATTCAGAGGGTTCTATTTAATGGACACAAAGGATTGCAACGGAGTCCAAACTCCTCTCTAGTTCATTGCAAAGAATTCAGCAGCTTTCACAGTCGTCAATTTCACCAAGTCAGCAGTCTCACCATTCAGTCTAAAATTTCTTCTATTTCTTTCAAGCCAAATCTTTCTAGAATATGGATAAACAACAGGTACTAGGGGATACTATGCATGGATCGGTGCTTGTTTAAAGTATTTTGTTTGATCTATTATCTATAGTCTAGGATTTGATGGGATAAAGGCAAAGAGCTCCTCGTAAGGCAGCCCATATGTTTCTGGTCCACTGGCAATTATAAAATAGGTGTTCCAAATTCTCTCGGTCATGCATGTAGAACACACAAGTAATCAGAACGTTAAACCCTCTTCTAGCAAGCTCATTATATGTAGGCAAGATACAGTGCATGCATTGCCAAATGAAAAACTTAATTTTTAGCAAAGCAGGCAACTTTCAAATCCATTCCCATTAACCTTTATTCTCGTTCAGACTTGTTCCTATAACAAGGTCATAAGCAAATCGGGTAGTGAAATACCCCACTAGAGGATGCAGACCAGTATATACTATCTTATCCCTGTCCCACCAATTGAGTAGGGATAGCATTTATCTTATCCAGAACATCAGCATTGAGTTTGAAAAAAATTGGAATAGGTTGATTGTTTTTTAATGCATTCGGACACTAGCTCGTTAAAATTTCATCCTTAGCCAATTAAGAGGGCCGTGAACAGTATTTCGTAAACTCCCATACCCCAACCAATTATCATGCCAAAAGCTCGTAGAAGAGCCATCACCAATGACCCAGCCAATACATTTTTCAACAATCGGACCTGCCTATCTCATGGCTTTCCATGTCGTCGATACTTTAGAAGCTTTTCTGAAAGTGCCATTTTCTTGGAGATATTTCCTTTTCAGTGTTTTAACCCACAAATCATTATTTTGATGAAAAAATCTCCAAACCAACTTAGCTAACTGTGCTTGGTTTTGAGCTCGAATCTCCCTCAAACCCAGTCCACATTCACTTTTTTTCTTGGTCACTTCACTCCAGTTAAGTAGATGCAATCATTTATTATCCCCAATTTTCTTCCATAAAAAATCTCTGTTAACCCTGTTCAACTCATTTAAAATGCTAATTGGAAGGGCTCTACATTGCATATAATAACTGGGGATGCTTTTCATAGTTGACTTGATCAACACCATTCTTTTTGCAAGAGAAAGTAGATTTGTCTTCCAACCAGCTAACCTTGCTATAACCTTGTTAACAATGAAAACATAATCATTTTTACTAACTCTCCATTTTATGGATAGGGAAACCCAAGTATCTTTCGAGATCAAGGGTTTCGTTAATGCCCAAAAAGTTAGTAATATCCCTTTTATAGTATTGTCTAGTGTTGGCAGAAAAGAAAACTCTAGATTTCTTCAGATTAATGGTCTGTCCAGACTCACCACAGAATGCCATGAGAACCTCCTGCGTAGACTTGGTAGTTTTTCCTTATGCTTTGCCTAGAATAATAATGTCATCCGCAAATATGACATGAGAAAGCACATGGCCATTTTGTGAACTTTTAGTAAGTTGCCATTTAGGGTATTCTACAACTTCAATAATTTTTAGACTTAAAAACTTCATACATAAAATAAAGAGGTAAAGGGATAAATGATCCCTTTGTCCCAAACCTCTTGAAGGCTTGAATTTTTTTAGCATTCCTCCATTCATCAAAATGAAAATAGATGAGGATGAGACACAACTCATGATCAAGGAAATTCAGGACTTTGGTAGATTGAAAAGAGTAAGCACCTTCCTAATAAATCCCCATTCAAGCTTGTCATAAGCTTTTTCTAGGTCCAATTTGACTATCATATGTACCAATCATCTTCTCTTAGTTTTAAATGAGTTGACAAGTTCCTGAATAATAATGCAGTTATCACAACCGTTTCTACCAGAAACAAAGCTAGCTTTGAAAAGTGAAATCATCTTGTCCAGAAAAAGGCCTTAGTCTCTGAACCATGATATTTGAGATAACTTTATAAGGTATGTTACAAAGGCTTATGGGCCTGAATTGCTCTATCCAAACGGGATTAATACACTTGGGAACCAAGGAGATCAATGTCTCATTCAACTTTTTTGGCATGGATGCCACCTCGAAAATATGTTTGACAGTGGCACAAATCTTATCTTTCACAATATTCCAGTAATGACGGTAGAAAAAAGGGTGGAGATCATCCGGGCTAGGTGCTTTGAAAGACTTGAAGCTCCAAAACGTTTTTTAAATCTCTAAATCTAAGATAGGTTTCAATAGATTATGTTGATATTGTGTGGTAAGCTTAAAAATAAATCGAGATCCAAGAGTGATGACACAAGAGCTTTGAGAGAAGGAAGAAGTATACAGCTTCATGAAGTAATCTTGGACTCACATACTATTTTAATGTACTATCAAAGTTGCAATTCGGCCCATTAAAAATTTTCATGCAACTGATTCGGCCAATGAGGCCTTTTTAAGAAAAAGAATAGCCGAAAGTCTTTAACAAGCCGTATCTGGTGAGCCCATTGAAATAGAGCCGCCTTTTACGTAAAATACTGAAGAAAGCCCTTGGACTCCCAAAAGCTCTAACGGTTCACCGCTCACGCTAGTAACGCCGAACTTTGAGATTTCTTCGGGTGAAAAAGTTTGTTTTGTTTCTTACCAAGAAAGTGAAAAAATGGAAGACTCTTTACGAATCCAAAGATTCGATCAACTTCCATCAGCTACACAGTTTGCCTCTCAGATTGAATCTCGAAATGTTCCCGCTGTACTCTTTTGTTCTCTCAACTCTTTCATTTTTTTCATCCGTTTGATTTTTTGCTAATTTATACAGTGACATTTGCTGAAATTCAATAGCAGTTCACTGATTTGTTTTCGTTTTTAAAGGTGTTCGTTGGATGCGTTAAGGACTGGAAAGCTGTTTCCAAGTGGAATCCTTGTAATGGCGGCCTCGACTATTTGGAGGTTTTCTCTTCAACCCTTACTTCTCCTTTTATAATTATGTAATGAACTTTTAAGAAAACTCTGGAATTGTTTATATTGGTTTCGTTTTTTTAATTTTCCTCCGAGTTAAAAGATTGTTTAGTGTAAAATGATGCAAGTGGGTTTAAAATCCAAAAAATGGCAATAATCTCACATTTGTTGTATTTACATCTATGATTAGTCATTTAAATAAGTTAATTAATAAGCAAGAGCTCTTGAATTACCATGATAAACATGTTCGATACTTAGTTTTTTGGATTCTATTTTTCTGAGTGGAATTTTGCAATTTATTTATTCAATTAAATTATTTCTTTTATTATTTTTCTTGTTTATGGTTATAAATATAGGAACGGGTAGGATCATTCATGGTGGAGGCTATGTTATCTAGAACTGCACCGGTGTTTTATGGTGATCTTAGAAGCCATGAGAGGGTAATTCTCACTTTCTCTGTACATGGAGTACTATGATGTGTTTTCTCTCTTGGATGACGGGACCATGATCCTTTTGTTTTTGCATTTGTTTACAGGTTCCATTACCATTTTCAACTTTTATTGGCTTTTGTAAACAGCATAGGCAAAATGTTGACAATTCTTGCAGCTTTAATTCTAATTCAGAAGGGCATAAACCAGGAGAATCTGACACAGAGCAAGGATGTTCACCATTTGTAGATGCTGCTCCACAACAAATCTACCTAGCACAGGTTGCAACTCTAGAGTTTTATGATTGCTGATATCTCTGTTTGTATTTTTTCTGTGATTGTTTGTTTTCATTTATTTAATTTGTTGAAATCAGATAGGTTTTCACTTGGTACTGCATATCCTTCATTTTCATTTTTCTTTTTAAGCATTAATGTAATGTTTGAATTTTGATATTCTTGGTTCAGGTTCCAATTATAAATGCTGAGAATGAAGAAAGGGTTCAACTGGAAACTTTAAGGGAGGACATGCAATTGGTCTGCTTATTTCTTTCCAACACTACTTGTTGTTTACCAGTTAGCTCACTAAACAAGAACAAGTTATGCACGGAAATTCTGATTGCAATTGCTTGGTTTGCGCAGCCTGCAATTTTGGAAGAAAAGAATCTATCTTCTATTAATTTGTGGATGAACAATGCCAAAGCTAGATCAAGTGCTCACTATGATCCTCACCATAATCTCCTATGTATAGTTACTGGAAGGAAACAAGGTGAATCTTTTTATCTTTTCTGTTTTCACCTATTAAATATATAGATTTCTTGGTTATTTTGGATCTCTGTGCCAGCTTTCTAGGATGGTTGTTCTCATATGTAATCTGTAGAATCATACTTTTTATCAAATCATACATTGCAGTATACATTTGAACTCTCAATGTACTCTCAGCTTTGGATATAGGACAGCTGTAATTTTCAATTTTATTTTTTTGGATTATTTTGGAAGAAAGTGTAAGAACCTTTTTCCTCATGCCTTACTGATGCTTTTCATCTGTTTCATGAAGCAAGATGAATTTATTGATTTTAAGCAGATTTATTTATTTATTTTTGGTGGAGAGAGATGTATTTATCTAGTCCATAACTTGGAGAGCAACTTTCATCTTAGCAACTGTTTTCTCTATTTTAATTGCCCTTTATCATGTGAAGTTGGATATATATTGGTTTTGGATGCAAAATTCAGGTTTCTTACATCCATGATCTTCTTTTATCCTATAAGTTAGTTATCCTTCTTCATATCTGTATGTTGCACCAATGCTCTTATTTCTTGTGTTCAACTATCAAGATATTTGATCAGAAACAGCCTTCATCTTATGTCTGATCTTGTTATCTCCACCACGGAGTTTTGCAAGCCACATCATGAATGCTTATGTTTGGGTTTTGACTAGACTCAATTCATTTTAATTTAAGCATAACTCTGGGCAGAAAAGTGGAAAGATTAATAATGCTTGTGTGCAAGGCATAAGATGATGTGACAATTTCAATTCCTTTTAACGCAGCCATATAGAGGATATTTGCTGGTGTTTTGAGTTTCATTCTCTTACTTGTAATTTCTAGGTTCACTTTGTAAAGAAATACAACAAACCTATAAACCCTAGCTGAGATGGTTCTTTTTTTCTGGTCTCCTTGGTTGTCCGCTTTACTTGTCTGTGATTGTAAATAAGAAAACATGTTTGTGATCTTCAACCGATCTTGTCTTCCTTGCTTGATCCATGCCTTTATTCAATGAGTAGCATCCTAACCAGTTGTTGTTTCTTGATGAATTATACTGATTTGCAGTTGTTTTATGGCCCCCTTCTGCAAGTCCCATGTTATATCCCATGCCTATATACGGGGAGGCCTCAAACCATAGGTATGCTACTTTGCATTATCTGCATCAAAAACCTAATTTTGCTTTTATTTTCTTCATTTGAGTGATTCTGATTATGAAAAGAAACACTTTGCAATTCTTGGGTGGCTACATGATTGACTTTCAAATTTACATTCTTAGCATGTGAAAACTTTTGATTTCCTTAAAATTGTCTTTGCTCTGACCAAAAAATAAAACTCTCTTGGCAGTTCTGTTGCTTTGGAAAACCCTGATTTTTCAGTTCATCCAAGAGCACAATATTCCATGGAATACTCTCAGAAGGTTATTCTTCATGCAGGTGATGCACTTTTCATTCCTGAAGGCTGGTAAGGTTAAGCTCTTTTTTTTTATGAGAATATTTTTAGCAGGCTTCCCTTGACTTTCTCTTTTTTTATCTTTCTTTCTCTAAGTAATTTCTATCTCTCTTCAAGTTTGATACATCTTAGTCATAAGTTACTGAGAGCATCTACCCTCTTCTTTAAAGTTCTTTTGTGATCTTAGATTTGATTATGAATGTATCCAATGTAGTGCTGTCAGTCTGGCATCTATAGTTTGAATTTAGAGACTAGAAGTTAGACATTTCCAGCAATGAATTTGATGTGGAATTTATAAATTTTTAATGAAAATGGAAGGCAAGAGTGATCCTGACTAGGATGTGAGTGACTGTACATTCAACAATACTTCCTAGCTAAATGTGATATGTGCTTTTTCCTGTTAACTCGGGCTTGTGGGTCACTTAAAACATCCTCTCCTATTGTTTCATTTTTTAAGACCGAGTACCCCATATTATGATAATTGCTTGCTTTCAGTTGTTTGCACATTTGAAAATTATTTGCAGTCCATAAGAGAATTGTTGAATTGGTGAACCAACCCGAAAACTTTGATGCCTAAGCACTTTGATTTTGGACAATAGCCACTATTTTAAACAGGAAAACCAAACCTTAAAGCAAAGTTGTTCAGTGGTGCAAGTCAATATCTGTATCTTTCTGTGTCAGTTGACTTTTCTGTTGACAGCTTTTCTAGTGAATCATAAAAGATGTAGTTAACAAGCAAAACTTATACTGTGAGGGCATCTGTTCATAAGACATAGTGATAAAATAAATATTGTGAAAGATAATTTTAGGCTTTACAAAAGATTTGGGAAGCTGGTAATGTCTTTTTTTGATGATTTTATTGAGTGCAGGTTGACTTGTAACTGCACTGTCAAAACTTAAGTGTTGCTAGCATTGTTCCTCACTGCCTGTTTGGTTTACTAACCATTAGAAGTTATTTTTCCTCATGACAATATGTTCTTGTTGGGGCTACGGTGTTTCTTGTACAGCATTGTGATAGGTGATTTTTGTTTCCTATGGATGCCAGGTTCCACCAGGTAGATAGCTATGATTTAACAATTGCTGTTAATTATTGGTGGTGCTCCAGCATAATGTCCAGCCTGGCAGATCACATGGATGCATATTATTTGCGCAGAATACTTAGAAGGTAATAGTGGTTCATCATCTTTTAAAATATTTCTGCTTTTTTATCATTATCCTTTCTGCCTATCAAAATGAACTTGTTAATCACTAATTTTAATATTGTAAGCTAACTTGAGTTTTTGTTACTCATGGAATGAACCTGTTATATGAAGATTGACAGACAGAGAAATGGTATGTATGCTGCTATGCTATTTGCTGCAGTTATGTTTTTAATTCTTGGTTGGGCCAAATTTCCTTCTCTTGTCTGGTCATTTCAACATTCTATGATACAAAAATGCTTATTGGTGAATCTTTTTTCTGGATTGTGATTTCTATCCAAATTATTATTTATGAGTCTCCGGAATTGTAATTTCAGATCTTTTTCTTTGCATTAATAGTTCAATAGAAACTGTTCTCGTAGAAATTTGGGTTGAAAATCTTGTAGGTATATCTTGTAATGAAGCTGGATTGTTTTTGGTGGAAGATATAATTCTTCATCTGCATATCTGAACTTTTTTTAATCTAATCAATTCTTAGTGGCATATATCAAATTACCTCATAAAAGTTTTTAAGTTAAATCTTCAGTGAACTTTTGATATCTTATTGCTAAATTGATCCTTGAACTAGTGTGCACTAGAACCAGGATAGATGATGCAGTAGGCAATTTGGTTAATGCGATAAACAGCATTATTCTTATGTTTTACCGCTTATTCTGTGTTTTTGTGGATTGAAATGTACTATAGTCTTTGCTTGTTTAGTTGTTACCCTCCTCATTTTCCAAAAGTCCATCAACCACTGTGTTGTGTATTCAATTTTTGAAACTAGGACAGGACCAAGTACTTCTCAAGGGTTCTACTGCTATGTGGAGACAGGAGAGGAATATACCAGAGCTGCCTTGTAACAAAGGTCAGTTTCTGATAAGCATGCTAATTTTCACCAAAAACAAGAGAAGATAAATATGCTGAGAAACCTATCTTATATTTTATTTGGTCACGTTATCCTTTAGATTTTCTTTTAATTGATAAGGAAATGAATGCCGTTGATATTGTTTTGCAGCCATTCTTTGTGAATTAAACTTGATAACTTTTTTACCAGATCAAGTAGACCATAGCTTGGATCAGGCTAGTCAGAGAAAGGATTTGAAAGGGAAGGAACAAAAACATAGCCTTCTTTTGCATGAATTGGAACCTTATGCTCTCCAGGCTCTTCATAAACTAGTTGCTTTAGTTCAAGACCGTGTTAATGCTTCTGATCAGAACAAACCAGTGTTGTCTACTTCAACAAATGGTTTGATGTGTTACGCGATAGATGAGCGAAATAAAACTTTAATGACTGAAATATTTCATTTAGAAGATGATCCAGTAGCTAAAATTCTCTGGATCCTTGAACCGTGCAACTTTCAGGATATGTTTCTTGCCATGGCGGTGAGTTTGCAATCTTGTTGAAACATTATTACACTTTCAAGTATGTGCCTGGATTTTTTATTAATGCTATATTCAATTTTATTGAACTTGAAAACTATTTTCCTGAGCTATTCTTCCTATATTAGCATTTGTATTTTAAAATTGAAGAAATTATGTTGAATCTTAATGTCACCTACTGAATTGGTGCTTGTTCAAGTGAGCCTTCTGTCCTATTCTAACACATGTTGTGGAAAATTAAATATGAGAAATGGATTCTGCTTGAATGAACTTAAAACAATAGCGTGATGAATGGGTTACCTATCAAATTTTATTGTGACTCGCCTTCTGTTGTTCTTTTTACTATTCTAAATTGCCTTGCTTTCTTTGCTTGTTTTCTTTTATCTCTTACTTTTTTATTAAGGAATAGTTATCCATTCATGTTCTATGACTTTCCAGCACAACTTCCCCCGAACTTTGGAAGCTTTAATACTGCACTTGCTTTCACCAGTGGGGGCAGAAGTCCTTACTCGAAAATTTGATGATATAGATAAGCAGAACTCTGAAGAACATCGGTACCTCTTAATTTTCCTTGGGTTATGATTTGATTTTTCTTTTCTAATGTATGTAATGGTTTTTGGTGTCACTATGTTATTCATATTCATGGTTTCAGGAACAAATTCTACCAGGTCTTCTATGGTGTATTTGATAACCAATTTGCAGCGATGGATGCCATTCTAAATGGGAAAGAGTCATTTGCACGCCAGGTGATGCTTTGACCTTGTAGAACTTTTCTTTCAAAACAGAATATAAGTAGTTATCATTTTACGGTTTCCGAGATTTGAGATGTCATCTGCAATGAGATATTTCTACAAAAAAAAAAGGCCTTTCTGTTCAAATTCAAGTTCAACATACTTAAGTTTAATTTTCTTCTGCTGGTGGGAGAGAGGGGGTGGGTGGTTTGAGCTGATTGGAGGAATAAATGCAATCTTCATCCTGAACTACATTTTGCTTAATTTTAAATGGTTTGTCGTAGGAAATTCTATCAATTTACATCCAGTGGTTTATTATGACAGGCCTAATTGGAGTTACTCAAAGGATGAAAAATTTATTTTTAAGGTTGATTATATTCTTTCTTTGGTTTTCACATTTTTTTCATCAGCAAGAGATTCAAACTTGTTAGTAGATAGGTTCATTCTTGCCATTCTTCCAGCAACTGTAATCTCTTTTGCTAAGTTTTTTCAGTTATGAGGAAAATGTTGAAAACCCTGTCCACTGCATGATTCAACTTATACTGCTTCGGATTATTTCAAATAAAGTTGGTCTTGGGACCATTGTGCCTATTCATGTTAATGTTTATTTCCATGCCTAGTCATCAAAATTGCGATTCTATTAGGTATTATTTAGGTGCAGAAAGAATCCAATTTAAAAATTCAAATTACTTCATTGTAGTTTTCTGATCCGGTTCACCTTTGAAGACCTTCACCCCCCCCCCCACCCCAAAAAAAAAGAAAAAGAAAAAATAGAGGAGTCTTTAACTGTCCTTATAGCTGCACTTCTTTTCATTTTGTTCTTTATTCTTTTCCATCATTATTTCCTCAGTGGGTATGTATTTTCATTGCTTTAGCATGTTTTACTGTGGTTATGTATGCACAAGGGCACAGATAAACATCATGCAGGTTGACTGTAAAATTTTTACAAACTTACCCAATAATATTTCTGGGCATCCTTTTTAAGATTTTGGAATCTTGCTGTGAGAAAATTGACAATCCAAAATGTATGAATTTTTGCTGAATTATGATGCATTACACTCAAAACATAGATTAATTTCTAAACTTTGCATTCTTAATCTTATACTTTTATATTGCAGGCATTTAAAAATGTGTTGGATAAATACTTGGGGGGGAATTTTAATGTACCAAAACTGTGTGTTGGGCGAGACATCTTGTGACACATTCTTCTTTAGGAATTGGTCCCATGGTGTTCTGGAGATGGTAAATTGATGCATGTTTCATCTCAGAAGCTTTCTGTCGCAATCAGTGCTTTTACATGTGTGTTATCAACAATTTTGTAGAATATAAATCGTTACAAACCTTGGATAGTGCAGCATATCTCAGTTATTCTTAGATGCTGTATGATTTAAATTACAAAGCTCTTCCATTGCCCTACCTGAATGTTTTATTAAGACTATATGGCAAGCATAAACATGTTTAGGGAAAGAATATCTCGAACATGAACTAGATGAAAATGGTAAGCATTATGGGGATATGATAATTAACTTGAAACAAATATGTGCTTAATTGAACCCTGAAGTGCATTGAAGAGAAGAAAAGCAGGGTGACAGCAGTCTTCCTAGAAGTTAACCACCTGCACACAATAACACCAACCTGCATTATTTGATGTTTGAAATGGGCATTAAGATTGCCATGATGCTAGGGACTTTCCTTTATGATTTTGTTAGAAATGACTATTAGTGGTGAGTAAATGGGGACCTGTTCTACTCATAGCGGATAGCGGATGCTATCTATATATCGTGATTGTTGATCTCTTTGTTGTAGTCTGTGTCTTGTAACTTTCTTTTGCTAAGCTTCTATTACTAAATTGTAAAGTTTTTAAAGAGGAAAATAGCAAGTATTAATGAAAATGGGCTTTTACAGTTATTGGCTTAAACAACATGGTAGAAACATGCTTTGTTTGTTTTAAAAATATTTAGGATGCAGAAGCCATGAAAATATGTATTTCATTTATTCATTTGTAGTGCGAATGTTAATACTGGGGGGGGGGGGGGTTGTTTGTGGAAGAGAGGGTGCTCCCATGGGGATTTGCAGCAGGAGGTAAAAGAAAAGAAAAGCATAGAAAAGAAGGGTTTGGTAATTATTAGGATTGGAAGGGAAGAAAAGAGGGCAAAAGTAAGGTTTATTGAGATGAGATTCCCTGATGGAAGATGAAATATGCAAGTGCTGTTGAGAGAGGAAAGGGAAAAGAGAGGGAATAGAAGAGAAGCTTTTGGTTTGTCTGGTTGTGTGCAGGAGATAATAATAAAAAAGAGGCAATCTTTTTTAGTAGGCAAATGGCATGTATATCATGTATTGTACCTTAACCCAGCAACTCTCACATACTTTCTAAAAGCTTGGATATACCCATGAGCACTGAACATCTACTTTCATTAATCCCAAGGCTACCTTCTCCTTCTCTCTCTCTCTCGTTGCATATACCAACAAGGATTTATCGGAATCTTTTTTCTTTTTAGCTGGTTAAAGTTGTTAAGAGCTAAGGTGGTAATGACTTCGATTGATCTCCTAACAATTGACACATAAACCATTTTTTTTACTTGAGCAAAGTTGAGCTGAGCAACTCTCTTTCAAACTGAGTTGCTGCATTTAGATCTCCTAATCAATTTCATTCATGCTTACCCTTCACTCATACTAACTTATTTGTGTAGACACAGCAGATTGTAAAAGTAAGACCTCCTTCAAACATGCTGATGGAATGGATTGGGTGTATTATTTGGAATTGGGCGTAATATTGGGACGTGCACAGAAATTGATAAAAGGCTCATCAAGAAAAAAAAAAAAAAAAGAGCTGTTGATTCAAAATTTCAAAGTTGTGTCCAGCATCATTTTCATAATCGTTGACATTTTTTCTCTGTTCTTTTTTTTTTCTTGCTCCTCTTTTTCCTTTTGGTTTAGTACCACTATAATATATGTATCATGGACCACCAACACACCAGCACATTTTCACGGACACCGCCAACTCACTATGCCTTTTCACTCACGCTTACAACAGGTATTACAGCGCCCCTCCCCCTCCCCCACTTTCTTTAGAAAAAGGCTACATAACTTCTTCGGTATATAGTATTATCCAATTTCTTGCTTAGTATCCCAAAAGATAAGCGATTGGGGAAAAAGAATTTCTTGGAAATTGATTACGCATCAATCTTTAGGTGGAATTCGAAAGAAAAAAGAAGTGATGTGATTGAATTTGTAAATAAACTATCGCATATCATATGATCTGGTCTGGTTGTCAATGATGTTCAAATTGGAAAAAAAAGGGTTTCTCTTTCGGGTTTCAATTTATTTTGTGTTAGTCAAGAGAATAGATAATGATCAATTATGGCGAGCAGTTTATTTTATTTTCCCTCTTTTAGAGTTCTCTTTCTTTAACTTTTTCTCCAGAGGTAGATGATCTTCCATTGGACCTCCTTTGGAATCGGACCCTAACGTTTCAAATGCAATTTCCAAAATAAAAAAAGACAAGAGCTCTTACCTTGCTGAGTGTTGATTTTACTTTTGAGGGAGAGTTTTGAATTATAGTGATTGTTAAGATTTTTTTTTTTTTGAACAATGGAATATTAAACTCTATAAAAATTAATAACATTCCATGAAAGTAAAATATTATTAATAAGATTTGTTGATCATTCCATGCATGCTTCTAAATTAGTAGTTTAGGATGGACCGCATACATGTGTGGAAGACCTGCATTAATTAATTAGTTACATACATACATATATATATATATGTATATATATATTCAGAATCACGGGCACTTCAAAATTTTAAAATATCTTGGTACTTGTGATTCATGTTGAGTGGTACTACATCATTTATAGGGTTTTTTTAAAGATGTAGCTTGATTTCTTCAAGATCATTTTCCTTTTGTATTTATAATAACGAAACTAAAAATAGAGGGAAGTGTACATCCATTTAGGCCGTTATATTAGAGAATTAGAAATTTCAGAAGCAGCCCTTCAATTAGCATCCATGGAAGATGTTTTGGTTTAGTTCACGTGTTAGTTCCGTTGGTGCAAACGAGGGTACAATGGTAATTCTATTGCATGCATGACAAGCACGAAACGTGTAGGGTCATCGTCATTGAGAGGAGAATACTCGCATCATCACATGCAGCAGCAAAGCAAAACTGAATGGCTGATCATGAAGGAATGAATATTCTTTCCCTTCCTCTCTTTTTCTCCTTGAGCACATACACTGCATTTCAGAAACCATGTTTATAATCCATTCTTTCACTTGCTCTCAAAGAGCTTTAAAGAATATTTCCTATTGGATTCTAATTTTTTCTTTTCCACTTTATCTGGATTTGAAAATTTATGACTACTTGAGGGAATTTGCATGTACATATATATAGGCCATGAAAGTAGAAATTGCTTGTAAATAGTAACCTTGGTTTCTTAAATAAAGAAGGCATATCTTTCTTCTTTCTTCATAATTCATCCTTATGGAAGAGTATTTTAATCCCTAACTTTAAAACTTGCTCTTGGAATAAATGAAGTTTGGATTTAATAATAATTCCACAACACTGATCATGTTAAGCCTTGAATAGAAATTACAATTATTTGTTGCTACAAAGAAATTGGAATATAATAAGCTTGAGGGACCTTCATTCAAATCCATGGCTGAAGGGGGATTAACCAATTTTTTAATCTCAAAATTTCAAAGACAATGTGTAGGAACGGTCAACTTAGGATCAACTGTGTAAAGAAAGATACTGTTAGAAAGGGGAGGTTAATTAGGAGAGGAGATTCATTTAATTTTTTCTGTTTATAGTAAAAGAAACACCTCAAAGTTCAAACTTCTTCATGGGTAATTCATAACCATTTCTCCCTTTTCTCCACTTGGTATATATTCTTTCGAGGAGTCCATCTCTCATATATAGCTAGCAATGCAACTTAATTAATTATGAAAGAATAAAGAGTGTGGTAATTTAAAAAAAATAAAAAAAGGGGGAAAATTATCTTTTAGCTTTATTACTTCCCTCGAATTATATTGTATTTAATAGAAAATTGTAATTCTTGTTAAATAGCGGTCATGATTCATGAAAAAGATAGGACATTAATTACCACAAGGGAAAATTTGAGAGGTACTTACATATATATATATATATATATATATATATATGATTTGCATGTGACTTTTTTCCCTTTGCAAAAATACAACAATGCCACTACCATCCACCTCTCACCTATAGCTATAAGTCAAGAAGACTTATATGCACAACCAAAATGGAAATATAATTTCTCTTAGGAAAATTCCTCATGACTTTCTACCATTGGACACCACTCCAAAAATTAAAAGAGTCAAGATTAATTTAAACAAAATGCAAGCAAACTACTAAACTACTTTTTTTTTTTTGGAAATTTAAACTAAAATTACAAAAAAAAAAATTGTGAAGAGGAGAGGGTGACTAGCTACTCTATAGGATTATATCATGGCCCTTCTAGCTCTCTTCTGTCTGTTTTCTTCCAACATTTTCTTTCATTTTTTTGCTAATATAAAGAAGCGCATTGTTGTCATTGTAAAAGAGGTGTCTCTAAATTTTTATTTTACTCTTTTTAATCACTAGTTTTTTTTTTTTTTTTATCATTTTTCCTTTTTTATTTCCCTTCAACAATCACCCCATGTTTCCGAGGCAGGCTCAGTGAATCCAATACCTTGGGGCTTCAACAGTGACTGGTCTCTCTCAAAGTGCTGCAACTCCACTCCCTGGGCGTAGGTTAGCACGTCCCTCACGTTCAAGCTAACGTTAACATTTCCATTGCCACCACCATGATGGTGATGGTCTCCCGTCAAACCTAGAAAGTCCCTGGTGAAATGATCGCTGCTCTTCTGCCACGTGACCAGGTTTCCAGCCGCGAAACCCAAGAAATCCGGGGAGACATGACTTGCCATGTTGTTGTTGTTGTTTATCTGCGTGGCGGTTGCACCTACGGTGGCAGCCTTTTGAAGGAGTGCAGTGGCTGACAAGTGAGGAGTGGCCGGTGTGGCAGCATTGGAGGGAGGATTGTTGCTGACGTGGAGGTTTTGGAAGGGTGATGTGATCAGGGCCTTCGGAGGTGGGGGCGGTGGTTCTTGGAAGAATGGTGAGAAATGGTGAGACTCAGGCTTGACATGAAGAGTGTTATTAGGGTTAGGGTTAGAGGTTTGAGTAGGGCCGACCCATGGGTTGAGAGAGAGATGGGTTTGGAAAGGGAAAAGAGAAGATAGGTTGGGGTTGGGGTTGGGATGGGAAGGTAAATGATGAATCACAGCTGGATTTGTGGCGGCGGAGGCAAGTTGGTTGGCTGAGAGTCTTGCACTTTCTTCAGCTAATGCATCGCAAAATGCTCTGTGAGTTATGAAGCTGTCCTTCCTGTTGGTTTCACAAGGAAGTTTACAAATTAAATAATTAATTGCATTAAGCAAGGAATTGAGAAAATTCATATTGAAATTGAAACAAAAAGAAATCAATGAATGTGGGATTTTGACAAATTAAAGAGAGAATGCATGGAAGGAACAATATTCGCATTGGATAGACTTAATAATGTCATAAAGTTTCCAGAAAAACGAAAAACAAAGGAGAAACTATATATCTTTGTTGGTCAAATGTAAAGGGGAGAGAGAGAGAGAGAGAGAGAGAGAGAGGCATGACGACAGTTAATTGATGTCTATGCATGCAAAGATGGCTCGAATATTCAAGAATTTGGTAAATTATGAAGGATAATGTTAGTTTTTGAAACTTGAGCTTCATGCATGTAAGAAAGATATGCAATTGAAACAAAAATCTAACTGATGGAGAGGAAAAAGGAAAGACAAAAGCGGACACAGATATTTTTGCAGATTTATCAGTTTTTATATCATGATGAAGTTTCAGCATTCTCTGTAACTTAATAATGGCATATATATTGCATGAAAATTTTGTCCAAATATAAAATCCCAAAAGGTTGAGGAAAAAAGGAGAATACGATAAAGAAAAGTACAAAACGCTAGCATAATAACGCAAGACAAGAGAAAGCAATCAAGCTTAATAGCTATTGAATCGTGAACAATACGATCAAAAACTACATAATGATCCGGCAGTCTCAAGTATTAAAAAAAAAAAAACTACAGTATGATGACTGTTCATTATCATTATTATTATTTTTTTTCAGATATGAACATGGCAGCTGGTTCAGGTTTCGGAGGTATTGCTTTCAGTTCCTTTCTCAAGGTCACCAGTAACAGACACTTGAATTAATGGTGTCCAATTGGACGAAACGAAACCTGTCACTGCATTTAAGTTCCAGATATATTCGATTCATAGCTTACCACTATTGTGTAAGAGAACAACTAAAAACAAAAACCCCACTAAACATAAAACAAGAACGGCCCTAAAGACACAAGGCTTCCCCCTTTGAACTAAAAACCAAGAGTTTATTAATCCCCCATTAGAGTCCAAAGTGATGAATAGCAAAGAAAAGAAACATCAAAATTTATAAAGAAGGGAAGGTTGGAAAGCTGAGACAAAACAGAAAGCTATAGAAAAGATAAAAAAAAGGATCAAACATCTCAATTATTATTTTTTTCTTAGGAGAAAAAGAAAGGAACCAAATTTACCTCGAGAAAAGGGTACCACAATCACATCTGTATTCTCTAGTTCCACAGGTCTTAGAGTGAGCCTTCCAATCTGATTGAACAGCATAGATCTTTGAGCATTTCTCACACTTCCACTTTTTCTCTCCATGTTTTCTGCTATAGTGTTTCTTGATGCCAGTAAGATCACCTAAAGCCCTTGAAGGATGGTGGTGGACACATGTAGGCTCAGGGCAAACATAGGCTTTCTTTTTGACCTCTTTGCCGTTTCTTTGCTTCAGCTTCCATGGAAGGTTATGGCCTCTTTTATGAAGCTGAAGGTTCTGATCTCTCTGGAAACCTTTGTTACAGATCTCACATACAAATCTGTTGGTAGCCAATAGCGTCTTTGGAGATAAAGCAATCACTTCAGCATCTGGGTCTGTAACAGCATCAAACAGTTAAAGACCAAAAAAATTGAAATTAAACTAGAATAATCTAATAGAAATTTGCAAGAGGTGGGAACAAAGTCTAACCTGGGTTCCCAGGAAGGCTTCGCTTCTTCTTAATTTTTTGTGGCTGCTGCTGAGGGGAAATGGTTGAAACGATAGGATTTACGCCACCAAAGTCTCGAACTCTTGTGCCAGAAGAAACACTAGCTTCCTCGGACAAAGAATTAGAATTGGACAGAGCTGCAGGAAACATGCCTGCGAAGAAGAAAACTCCAAGAAAATAAAACAAGAGAGAACCCCAAAAGATTAGTCCGATCTCTCTTTGTTTGTTTGATATCTTGTTCCACTTTATTATTAGCTCTTGTTCAAGAGTGACCACTTTGCACCTTTGAAAGAAACAAGAAGAAAGAGAGTAGCAAAGGGCTCTAGACACAAACTAAACACAGCTTTGTTAATAAACAGGTGGCAGTGACATATAGATACAGAAAGGCATCATTCATTGGATGCAAAAGCAAAATCTCGTGAAGAGGTGATGATGATGGGTTATTCTCCAAGTCGCTATCTAGCCATGGATTGCTTGTCTGAACAACTCTGCAACGCAATTCACATATATATATATATATATATATATCTTTCCAATCTATCTCTTAGAAAACCATCAAGAGGTGAGAAGTGAGAAGCTCTCCCCCCATGCAATCAAAACATGAGGAAAATACAGACAATAAGATGGCTTTTTCTCTAAACCTCTCCACTACCCAATAACCCTCTCCTTTCTATCCATTTATATGTATATCAAGATTCACAGATAGATTCAGAGAGAGAGAGAGAGAGAAGAGAGAAGGTTTCAGCAACAGTATCCCTGTAGATAATAGAGTACAGAAGGTGATGATTACAATGGCAGACTAAGGAGAGAAGGGGTGGTAAATTAGACCTAAAAAAAAATTGAAATAAATAAACAAAATTCCAGGTGAGAAAAAAGGCTAAGAAACCCACATAAAAAACTAGGAATTCTACAAATGTAAGAGGACGAAGCTCAAAGCAAGAACTAGGAAGTATCCCGGCCCACTTGATTCAGAAAAAAAAAAAAATCACTCCATTATTATTTTAATAATAATTTCTTTTGAACTCTGACGTTGGCACTTTCTGTCTTTTCCTTTGTTCCTGTTATAAAACACCCAAACCCTAAAAGGCTTTTGTTTTGAATGGAATGATAATATAAAAAGTAGGGATTGCTTTGCTTACCACTAGATGATCAGTACTTTGAAGAATTAGAAGCTTAAAAATTAAGCTTTTGGGGGTGGTAAAGGCAAAGGCCTAGTTAGAGATATAGCCCTTCTCTTGAGTCTCTCAACCTTTTCTAACACCCCCACAACTACCATGATTGATCAATTGATTGACTCTCATCAGCTTGTAAAACCAAACATTATTAGAAGCTAATTGATTACTTGAATGGTAAATGTAAAAAAGCAATCTAAGATGTTCCAACATTACATTATTTGAGAAATATGTGGTTTTACTTGTCCAACAATCTTCAACTCATCTATCAATATTTTTGTCTTATGTTATTAAGCTTTAGATTATGTTCTTTTACATTCATAATTAAAGTATCTGTTTCTTGCATCATGTCCACCAATTAATACCAAAAAAAAAAAAAAAATGATCAGTTTTCGATGATTAAAATTACACACAACTTCTAGTTAATATAGTAGCTATTAACGTCGTCCGTTCAAAATTTGGATTGGGTTTTGGAATCTTAATGAACATCTTTTACATTCCACTATACATGTGTTTGATGATTTTTATCCCCTTTCTGTCTCTCTTTCTTTTGTTAGTATTATTATTCTCTCACATCCCTAGTCTGTAGTGAAAGTGCTCAAGCAAACCCCACCAAGGGGAATTTGGAAGGCCTCTCTTCTTTTTCTCCCCTCTTTATATAACTTTATTTATTCCAAACCCAAATGTAAAGCATGGGGAGATGGCCTCAAATTGACGATTCTACCCCCTTCATTTGTCTAAATCAGTTGGTCTCTTAGGTTTTTTTGTACCATTGATGGATATAATAGTAATTGCACGTAAAAATATGAGTGGGATTCCCTTTCTTTAGAGGGCAAGGCATTGGCAGCTCTTTAGTCCTAACGCCTGATGATGATTGATGATGCAGAGGGCTGAAGGGGGCAAAGAGAAGGACACCCATTTTTGCATTTGGAGAGACCCTCTGGGACAACAAACAATATGATATATATATATATATATATATATCACCTAAATATTTATGTTGTTGTTCTTGCAAATATTGTGAGTACTTTGGAATCCTATGTGATGGGCCGGGGTTGTTCTGAAATCCAAAATCTATTGAATCATTTTGGCATTTGAGTGAGATTCATACTCCTTTTCTGTTTGGATAAGATGAGATTTATGCTTCATTTATTCACCCTTTAAGACAGGAAAGTCTTTCGTGTTGCTTGGCGTACGTGTATTCTTTTACCACCATTTACCAAAAAACTATATATCATCTCCCCATTCCAATACATTTTCATATGAACAAAAAATTCAAACTTAAATAATAAATAAATTAAATTAAAACTTAACATAATTAATTTATATAATTATTCTTAAAAAATGATATTCAATAAATTTGAAATTCAAATTCAAACATTCATAATCTCTTTACTTATCTTCAGAGTGCAATTTTTTTTTGTAAAAATAATAATAATAAATCAGTTGCAATAAATATGAAAGATTATCTCAAGTTTTAGGCTGACGTAAAATTGTTTAATTAGTAAGATATAAATTAACAAGCACATGTTATATATCAAGATTTGATTTTCTTTGTGCAAGTTGGCCAAAAAGTTCCGTGTCGTAATAAAACAATAAAAGAAGAAAAAAAAATAAGGAAAGAAAGATTACTCTTTGAGCTTTGTGACCGGTAATTCAACGAGAAAAAAGATAAATAGATAGATAGATATATAATAATAATAATAAAAAAAAAAACACAAATGGAAGCCCCATTTTGGTGACTTGTATAAAATTGTGAACTGATAGAATACAAAAAGTTAAATGAGGTGGTCACTGATCTAATATTAATTAGTTCATAGTCTTTTGCAAACCTAACTTTGTTTGAATGTAAGATTCGATTTTAACATCTTGACTGCAAACAAGTACCTTAAAACATTAATGCCGGTAACAAACCAATTAGACTAATTCAAAGTCTGTGTTTTGGTCTTAATTAAGCGGAAAACAAAAAGATCCTACCAATTTGGGATTGGCACATGCTCATGGCCATTGGGCAAAATCCCAACAAAACAAATATCAAATATTTTACCTTTTCAAGCTATTCAAGTACTAATGCAAAGTTATGCTAGCCATCAAATTACAGTCTTTCAATTGGCAATGCAAGTTGCTGATTCTGATTTACTACTGTATTTTCTTTTCTCTGTTGAGGGAATTGGGAAAGAATAGCTAACCCTCCAAGGGGGCCCATGCCCTTATTCACGGGTTCTTCTATTACTAGATTCTCGCATGCAGTTTTGGCTCTCTTGCCCCGCAAGGCCACAAAAAAAGTATTTATTTGCAGTGGTGGACCAAATTTTTGGGTCATTTTCTTTGTTTTGCGGGAAATTTTGTTATCATTTTCTTCTGTGTCCTCTTATCTTATCAAGATTCTGTTACCCAAACTCAGCTATTTATTTGACTATCCAATAAGTGTAAAAAAAAAACACACAAGCATTGTTACCCGTAAGGCATAGTAGTGTTATATGTTGGACGAGATACTCAAATAAGAATGTTAGAAAAGAAAAAAAAAAAAAAACCAAATCTCCTATTCTGAATTGCAGTCTTGCTATAACCAGTCAAACTTGATTAGGCCATCTCTAGCTTGGTTCTATGATTACCATGTCTAGCAACGACATTGATGGCACCTGCTTTCACCTATCAAACATGTTCAGAGGTATTAAAACATGTTTTTAAGGATGACAGTGAATGTCGATAGTAACTGATTCATAAACCGTTATTATAATTCATCTCTTGTGTTTTAGCATAGAAACAGTAAGTTATACATTTCTTAATCTCTTTGGGTTAGAATTAAGTGCAAAATCCTTTGGTACGAATATTACTAGTTGAACGTCTTTCAAATTCCAACAACTTACCTATACTACTGCTAGGCTTTTGAATTAAGGAGATAATGGGCGAGAACTGAGTTCGACTCGGACTGAATTAAATATATCTAATTAAAATTCCTCAATTCCTCACTTTACTCATTCTCAATCCTATCCACCCATAAAAGAATTCTCTCACAAACAAGCATAAATGATTGTAACATTGTCAAAAGATTAGAATAACCTGTGTGAAAATTTTTATATTTGTATTATGTTTTACTAATAAAAACTTTTGAACTTTTCAAACCAATCATCATTTTTAAAAATCGCATTCCTCTTCATCTCCTCTCTCTGTCTTCAACTCTTTGGTTAGAATGGGATAGAGCCAATAAGGACAATGGGATGGGTCCTGGATAACACGCTATATTCCCTGTGGACAGCCCCACCGGAAAGATTTTAAAATGAACAAAATTAGAAGAAAAATAAAATTAAAAATGATCTTGTGATTGAACTACGATGATGACTTGTTTTGTCTTGACCATGAAATTAGAGATTTTCCACCTTTCTTTTTGCGTTAGGGTCAGCTCATTACTGCGAAACTTGGCACACCGTGAAAAAGGGGTACCTACATAAGATTTTAATCATTGTGTGCTGAATAATATTCTGTTCGGCGACTGAGAGTCACGGATGAGAATAGGATAAGAAGAGAGAGCAGAAGCAGGACCTTGCCATTATTAAAAGGGAACAATTAAAATGCAAGAGACCAAGCTCAAGTCAACTTTATACATCAAGTTGACCTGCCATTGCCAAAGTATTGTAGCAGACTTACTACAGTGTGGGAGTGGGACTCTGTCAACATTATTTCAATGGCTGCTATTGACTTGTATTTGCTTTCCTCCAACCCATAATTTCCAAAAGAGTTTAGAACCGTTCTACTGATACTTCTTTGTAAGACTGGAAGAATTAACCTTCCTGCAGTGGTTGGTTCCACAAAATGACTTGAACCATGGGAAACCACACATTTACTTTTACCCTGCCATAGTGCAACTTATGCATTTAGGCATAAGTAAGCAATGACACCATCGGATTCATATCAAAACGAAAAAATTCCTTAAATGAATAAGAGGAAGTTGCAAACTACCACAACTAGAGCTTGTGACATGCTTGCTTAGTGAGGTTAGGGCCAAGAATTCAAGATTAATGCCATCATACAGTTCTGCTCTGCTGTCTAAGGTCCTCTTGCCCTTGACTCAGTGTCTTCTTTAGTTTCTCTTAACTTAGCTGCAGGTTAATGGACATAGAAAAACATTGCCTTGTCAGATGGTAGCCCACCAGACAAAAATCACATGTCGTGCATTGCACCTAGGAACAGAACCCCTTTGCACACCTAACATATAAAGGATTTCTCTTCTAGAAAGTGATGAAAACACTAACAAAGGTAAGCAAAATTTATAGTACAATTAAGAAAAGGGCAACTAAACTGCTTACATTACTCTGAACTTCATAAAGTTGAGTAATCCATCCCACTTCAATCGGAGATGCTAAATCTTCTTTCCTGCACGACTCTGTCATTGTAAGTCCGGTTAAGATTCGCAAGAGCCAAAAGACCATGGAAGTCCAATGCCCGCATAACAAGAATAGAATGGACAAAATTTGGAGACTCCATGCATGTGATATGGTTATAATGGTAAAATGTAGCCAAGGCAAGAACCAACCTTATGTTAGCACAGATGAATACAAAACAGCTTATCACTCTTAATCAAATCATATGATGCTCCACCAGATATATCCAACAACTGAAAATTTAGATAATCTATTTCAAAATATTTGGACACTTATTTGTTTTGCATTTTAGAGCAGCAGTAGGCCCCATTCATTATTGTCTCCAAAACCCATCAAAAGGTTTCAAAAATTTGTCTATGCAATGAGAAGCATCATTTGACAGGTGTTACCATGATGCGAATACTCCTATGTACCAAGGAAATTTTGCCACGCATTTAAGTGACCAATTTAATTCAAATTATGCTTGAATATTGCAGCCTTCTCATTTTAAGAGCTGCCTTCCACTTCTTGACCTAGTGACAACATGAAGCTCTGTAAAGGCATGTGTAAGCTTGGTACGAATCCAAGAAACCCCTCCCCCATTATCAATATATAAAAAGAAAAGCAACTTTGGTGTGCCAAAAAAGAACAAAAAGATTAAAGAGGAGAAAATGAAAGTACTAAGAAACAAGTTACAAATATAGAAAACAAACAAAAAGAAGAAAAGATTAACACAATTAATCTTTCATGTAGACCATCAAAGAATCCCCAGGGAAGTTAGCTAAACGAATAACAACACCTAAATCAAGAAATTGCAAAAGAAACATTATTATTTGTCACATTACTGAAAAAGTCAACCACTTGCATCAATGTAAGGCCACATCAACCTTGCATGACCATCAAATAGAAACAATTATTGCATAGGTTGGATCGCAAACTGCCTTTAATTGTCAGCAATTTTTTGTCAACTTTTTAAAAGAAATGGCAGGCATTATTCTTTTGTGATAGTTTAGGGGTTTAACCAGGTAGTAGTTAAACAATTGAAGTATGAAATCCACTTCCATAAATGAAAAAACCTATTTTACATATTAGAGGGATACAACTGCAAACTCTCACATATATGATGCTCAAAACAGTCAAAGAACAGCCAATGTATGCAAGTGAGCACTTTTTCTGTGAAGCCTATTTTCTCTCTCTGATCTTTTTTTTTCTCTCCAAAAATTCTTTTTTTTTCTAAGTATAAAAAAACAAAACAAAAAAGAAAGGGAAAGAAAATATCCACATGCATTGAATGTGAAATGTACTTGCAAAATTAAAATTCCATGAAACACGAGATTAAATAACAGTCAGAAGCGTGTCAAATGGAACTTCTAATATTTTCTTCTTCTATGCCAAGAGAAACAACTCATATTTTGCAGATATGCACTAAGCTGGTCATTCATTTTGCCAATTTCTCTTTACTGCACTCTCATAATTTTTGACCTCCCCTTTTCCACTATAGCTAGAATAGCCAAAACTAGATATCATGTCAAACATTTCCCCCAGTTATACATGATCATCCCATGAAATGACTCCATAGATCTAGTCAGCTACACTGATATGTTCAACCATTCCTAGTGCAAGGACAGCTTATCTTGACATTATTTCTAGTCACTCATGCACTAACAAATTTCTCATCACTTCATTTTTGTGTTTTGGTTCCTTATTCTAGACCATTAAACATGACTATTCTATGGATGTTTACCTCCCTCCAATTTCTCTTAAGGATAGACCATTATCAAGTATAAACTTAGGCCAAAATTTATTTTACTACAACACCACTTTTATCTCCATATGACAATGTCTTATTATAAACAAAGAAAAACGCACTTCCCAAGCATCTGTTAATCTCATGTTGGCCATATAGCCACCCACTTGTTTAAATTATAAGACATAAAACAGATACTCATTAACACAATGTGATTGACAAGATTAGAATCATTTAAATATTGACCCAATTTAATTATCCCAAATGTGAACTGATAGAAAAAAACCATGTTTTTAGTCTTTACCTTTTTCTATGTATTTGATAAATGATTACATGTTTGGCAAGTTAAACGTTGCTATCTAATCAGAAGTATTTCTCATCATTTTATGTGTGAAGTGGCCCTAACATTACTTGTTTCAAGAAATAACAGCTTACCTTTTAACTGGCAGGATTTTTAATGGGTCCTGCAACTGAACCCCATGCTTCATTCATAAGGCATTACCCCACTTGTCAATAGAACATTAACCACCACTACAGTCTACAAATACCTAAGCAGACGGGTTCTTATTCAGCATCATCCAAGCAGATGTTGGCCTGCATTCATAAACAAAATGCTTAAGTCAGATACATTTGATTTACAACTTTTTTAATTGAAATATGACCTCCAAGGGTGGTGGTCTGATAAGAATAATAGCGAGTGAAACAGAAAGTTACATTAAAAAGAATTGAAAATACAATAAAATCAACCTGTTCCTGATTGACCAAACCCACATCAACTACGAGCCATAGATCATTAGTTTAAACTTGTATTAAATTTCAATAAAGCTACAAATGATTTCTTTATGTTAACTTTACATTTTTTTCAAGCATCTTTAAATAGGTTATTTTAAGCCACGTTAATAGCCAAACACAATTAAAATAATTCATCGCGACTCATATACAATATTGAAAAAAAAAATGAACAAATTCATTCTCGGATTTTAAGCATTAGCATAAAAGAGATACGTGATCCATTGACTTAATCAACTGAATTTCTACGAAAAAGAAAAAAAAATCTAAACCAGTGAGCTTTCAACTATTCAAAATGACGTTTATTCCAAAGTTCATGGATTTACGACAAGTGTAGCATCTAACGGAACAGGAATGTGGAAAGTTAATAGAGAGATGTTACTCACCCTAATTTGACAAAATCCTGCTCGAAATGGTTTATGCATCTTCGCAGAATCTTGAAAAGGGGGGGAACAAGGAGAAAAGTGTGACGCAATTTCAGTGGGAATATCTATCCTTTCACCAGCAGCTAGTATTTGAAATGAGACACCTGATAATTTCAGAAGGTTGTTTTTGTTCCTATTTGGATTTGTAGACAGAAAGCCCATTTCAATGGACCTTAGTTGTAGTTTGCTTAACCAAATTCTAAACAAGGAAGTTGGGTTGGGCTCGCGGAATCTCAATTTAATTGCAAGTTTTGCATTTCTTTAAAGATATTTTATGATAAAATAAAGTTAATGTGAATTGCGAGATTTAAATTTCAATATTTTTAATATTTTTAATTATAAAAAAAAAAAAATATGAAACTTATTCCCAGAAAAAATATATTCTTCAAAATAGATATGTTATTGGTCATTCCATGATTCAAATGTAATGATAATTATCAAGTTGACCTAACAAAAATTTTTTTCTTAAAGTTGTGTGTCCCAAAAATTATTTTCAAAATAAATTATGAGGACTGAGGACCAATTACTATAAATCTAAATCTTGAAAAACCAATAACTCACTGTAGTAAGCTGAAAGCCATGGCCATGATCTTTCACTGTCGTCTGTTAATGTTTCAACCCACTTTCTTTTCCATCTTTTATTGCAAGGAGTAATTTTTCTCTTCATGTTTAGCCAATTTTCATGTTCCAAGAGCCAACAAATTAGGGTTTCCAATGGACTTGTGAAGTAACCAAGATCTGATTCTCCATGTCATTTCCCCCACAAAATGAGAAAATTTGACAACTACATGAATGTCGCTTTGAGTTTATGATCGTGTTCATAGCTTCCGATGAAAACCAAGTCCTTTCACTCTATAAATCTAAATTTTGAAGAAATAGACAGCAACCAAAATATAAAAAATCTCTGGTGCTTATCAGGGAATTCTTGAATTCATCATCTGGAGGACAACGATGAAAGCAATGTCAACAAAAACAAGCAACGAAATCATTTGTTTGGTTTTGCAGAGCGGCACATTCCCGGTTGGTAGCTCTGCAATTGGTGAAAGAGATAGCGAATTATGAGAATCCAGTTGCCATGGCCAATAATATATCTTCATGGTACAAATGTAACACTTCATGGTTGTTCATTATCACCGACCACGGATCCTACTACTGTCTCACAAGAAAGAAAGAGACAAACTTAAGTACAGGAAAAACTGAACCGACAAAAAAAAATTAAGAACTACCAAGTGATCTTTGGATCCAATACGTTTTCTTGCAACTTGCAGCTACATGTTGTCCATTTTCAAGAGCTTTAGAACAATCTACATTCATTTAAGGCCAAGAAAAGAATTACAAGAGGGCAGCCAATTAGTGAATTAAATACATTTTGCAGAGTACAATGGGCGTTGTTCAAGGGGTTAAAAAAACAAGAACCTTGAAACAAGTCATGACGGTGAATACCACAGGTTCTGATCTACAGCTGCAACCTTACAAAAGACAGAGAAAGATAAGCGGCAATGATTTACAAAAGGGAAAAAATGGAATGGTAGATGAAGAAAAAAGGGTCTGAAACACCAGTAACATGAGAGATTTCCACGGATACAGTTCTTGGTAGGTAATTCCCTTGTCCTGCCAATAACAAGAAAGCATCAAAGCGAAGTGAAGGTCATGGCCTAACTGTTTTTTGAAGACCCATTTGCAGAAAAGTTAGAGATAAACTAATACAACAAAACGTGCTAGGCGAAAGACGTTCCACCAAAGTGAAATTGCTGAACTGCTGCTTACAAGTAGCTATGCTATAGAATCTTCAATCTAGATGTTCACTTTCTCTACTTTGGACTTGAACCCAAATAACCCAACCGCTCAGCCAATACATTCTCATCTTCATCTTCACCTCCTTCAGTTCCCAGTATATCCAACTCTCCTTCAAATCTATCATTCAATAATTCTTCCCAAAACCCTTCATCGAGTTCTTTGTCATGACTCTCTCGATGTTCGGGCTCATATTGTGCTTCCTCTTGCTCCCTTCTTGCCCTACCACAGCCTTGCATTTCCAGCGCAAGTGCTTCCAACTCAGTTACTTGGTATCCATAATCACCAAATGCTAGAGGTTTAGTTTTAACAGGATTCGTTTGCTCGCTACCTCGACTTGATTCACCTGCATCTACACCATCAGGTCGTTGATCAATTGGCCGCCTCCTTTTCTTAGACATGGCTTCTTCAAGCTCCTTTCTTTTCTCATTTTGTTGCATTAGCTGCTGGATAAAAGCTGGATTCTGCATTGCTCTAGCCAAGAAAGACATCATTTGCTGCTGCTTCTTTTCTGTGCCTTTCAGCTTTTCTTCCATGGCCTGAAGATTGATTCGAGTATTCTGTTGTTGCTGTCTTAGCTTCACTAATTCCATCATTAGAACCTGCTTGTCACGCCTCAAACGATCAACTTCTCCATCTAGTCCAAACCTGCCAACTTCAACACAAGGACCAAGAGCTTCTTGAGATGGTGGGGGCAGAGATGTTGTCTTTCTTCTCCTGATGCTCTTCATGATGTGCTTCTGGCCCCTGAGAAACCCTTCATTCGCAAATTCCCATTTGTCTGGATCAATCTTTCTAAAACTCTACGGGAAAAAGAAAATTCCATATTCATTACCATCATTTATCAACTACCAAAATTTCAGACTCGATGAAATCAACACAATAACCAATCAAAAACTTGAGACAGACTAATAATTTGTTTTAATTTCATTGGTGATGGAGACAGATTGAGTTAACAATTGATCAAGCACTTGATAAAAGAGTATGCAGACAACAAACTGAATATTTTATTTCTTAGTCTTGCCACCAAAAAAATAATTGAGCAAGGTCCCACTTCCAGAAAGAACCATTGGGGCTGAAAGAACAATATAAAACCAAGTGGAACTAAAAGCTACTACTTACCGATTGCTCAAAAGTTACAATGCAGAAAATAATGGAGAGGAAAGCCCGGAAAAGTGATTCAAAGAACATTCTGCCAAAACGGAATAAAAAAATACTTGCATGGATTTATAGGCTTTTTATGATCTGTAAGCCATGTGACATTCCAGAACATCCAAGAACAATCTCAAGCGTCAAGTAATAAATAATGAAATAAACATGCTCAGAAAAAAATGAAAATTTACTAAAAGTGGGGAAATTAAGAGAAACCCAGAAGAATATTTTACTCAAAATCATTCCCAAACTTTCAAAGTACCCCTGTTTTAATCTTTCAGAAATGTGCTAATTGGGAAAACAGAAAATTCAAAATTGAAAACATAATTTAAGATATAAGAACACTTACATAAGTATTGAGCTGTCTGACAAAACTAGAGAAATTATTGTGCTTGAAATATCTAGGGAGGAGATTAGTGGAGAACGAGTGAGGATCCCATACAACAAAGCTGCTGCCTCCTCTGCTCCAAGAAACTATGTTGTTAGTATTAGCATCATCCACCATGTCAAAGGTCTTAGTTAGGAATGGCGGTGGCCCTGAATCGTGGAGACCCTCCATCGGCTGTGGCGGCATCATCGTCACTGGCGGGTCATCTTCAGACTGTGAATAACTTGAACTCGGGTACTCTTCCTTTACCGGAAAATATGGATTCATGGCTCAAAAACCCTGCTATATTTTTTTCTTCTATGAATTGAATACGATGTGATTTGATTCGTTATTGAATCCAATTTCTTACTTTGACAATTTCTAAGTTTATTGTTGAAGATTTGTTTTGATCAAATGCACAGTGGTTAAATGAAGAAAGTAAAGGAAACGGTGGGAATTTGAAAACAGGGGAAGCTTCATATACTCCAAGCTAAGATCTCAAAGACGTTAAAGAAGAAAAAAAAATTGAACCTGAATCCAAAGAGTATCAATACAACTATAAATAGAAAGCGAAACAGAAAATTAGGAAAAGAAAAATAAAAAAAAGAACAAAGTGACTTCGGATTTTTTTTTTTTTTTTGCTGGGGAGGTTTCCTCTTTAGGAAGGTCGTTTATACCGTTATAGTAGAGTTTGGTAGTTTTGTCACGCCCACGCCCACGCCCATATTTAAAGAAGCCAGGAAATAAATGGTTTAAACTTTATATGTATACTGCGAGTTTCTTTATTAAAAAAATCATTTAGAAAGTTCTAGATGTATAAAATGGAATCATTATTTTATTTTGGTGAAACTATATAAGATGTTAAAAAATATTTTTTATTTTAAAAGTTGAAAGAATCCTTTATTTGTAGCTCTTTCTTCATTTGGGGAAAGTGTGGTCCTTAGAAAGTTCTGGAAATTCAAGGATAAGGAGAGCATGGTGGAGGCATGGTACGGGACCCATTTTTTAATACATATATTTTTCCTTTTAAAATAATAGATCCCATTGTAATCTAAATTATAAGTCATTGGATGATAAACCCCACTTATAATTGGGGTCTAAATCAATCGGAAAATCACTATTAGATTTTTTAGTTTTGACAAAAAAACTTTTTTTTGAGTAAGTCTGTCGACTTCTCACAATCCGAATTGTCAGAATGTGTTTGCAAATAAATTTACTTTTTTTATTATATATAATTTTGAATTATGAATTGTGATTAAAAATTATAAATATGTACTAAAAAATTATAAATGAAATTATCTGTACATTTTAAGAGTATATATTCAACTTTTAAAAGAACTTAGATCACGTTTGCTGTTAACAATTTTTTTTACACAAAAATTTGCTTAATAAACTATTACTGAAATCAATATTTAATCTCATTCTAATTTAGTAATAATTCGTGATTCTCTTTTTTTTTTTAGTAAAACAAATTTGAAAATAAATAAATTATTTAAAATTTTAAATTAAAATAAAATATATCATATTTAATAATTTAAAATAAATTATTATAAATTATATATAAAAAATAATTTTAATAAATAATCAACGATAAAATTTAAGTTCAAAATTTTGTTGCGAAGAATGACGATTCTGTTTTGTTAGTAAGAGAAATAATTGACAGACTAAAAAAATGAGAAGACAAGATATGTTGGACACGGTGGCATGCACAACGCGACACGTCTCACATTCCTCGACTATGGCGACTGTGACAAGTGGGCTCTCACCAGCAAGAAAAGTGGCTACTTCTGTTGCAAACAGTCGATCTTATTTTAATTAATTCTTATAATCCCGAAAAAAACAAGGCAAATATTTCATTTATTTTATTGGTTTCGAGATAAAAATGTGTTATCCTGCTGCTATATCGAAAAAGCCATACAGAAGAACCTCGCTAATGCCAAGAAATAAGGGCCAGGTCACTTCTAATATTTATTTTTTATAAGTCGAACATTCTACATTGTTCTGGAAAAAAAAAAACAATTTGCACGATAAGATAATTATCTAGAGATTAATAAATTTATTTTTTTAATTTGTGGGATAATTCAAATTAAAAAATACTACCGAACAGAGCTTTGCGACTTATTCATTACAGATAGTACTGAACGCGTCAGCATCTGTAGAAAAAAATTAAAAGTTCGTTAAATGTAAAACGTGTGCGTCCTAGGTTTCTTCTGATTTGATGAAGAGAAACGTTAAGTGAGGCAATTGCAAATGCTGACTAATTGTAAATCCGAAAAGCAAAATTTAAGTACTTCACATAATCCGTTTAGGAAATACATGTGTCGCTAGCAGAGTTGTTTCTTCTTTCGATTTTGACATTCCTGTTACACAAGCCTCGATGTCTTTATTTTTTTAAAAATTATCTTTAAATAAAATTATTTAATTATCTTTTTCACCCTTAAAATTTTTTCGAATATTTATATTTATAACATTTACTAAATATAAAAATCCAATAAGTTAAATTTTAAAACTTTTAAGAAAAATTATAGAAACGGAATTTTATTAAAAATATTTTAATTTGCATAATGAAAAATGTTATTATTTAAAAGAAAATAATAAAATTTAAAATTAATAAAAAATGATTTTACTATTTTGATTAAAAAAAAGTTAAAGTAATGAGACCCTAACTAAACTAAGACTAATATAATAAACGCATTTTTTATAAGTTTAAATTTTATATTTTCTTAAATAAATATGTTTCTCTTTGGTACCGATTATTTAAATATTATAATATATTTCAATTATTAAAATATTTTTTCTCTTCTAAAGTTTTTGGTTAAATAAAAATTTGAGAGAATTACAATTGATAATTGATATAAAAAGAAAAAATACTTATTAAAAAAATGATGAAATTTAAGTTCGTAAAAAAAATTACATATCCTATTTTGATCTTAAAAATATATATTTCACTTAAAAATGATTAATAAAAAAAAGCTATGAAGATAAAAACTCGGGTGCAAATAGAAATTCTCTTTTTTTTTTTTTTTTTTTATCTTTCCATTGCCTTCATCCATATTTAAATTATATAATAATCTGTTCATAATTGATAGTGTCGATGGTTTGTTAATAAAATATTAGATTCTTAATTTTAGTGAAAAAATTTGATTTTTGATAATTTTAAATATAGGTAAACAATAAAAATACTAATAAAAATAATCCGATCTTATAATTTGTACAAAATTTAATTTTAATTCCTAGGCCTACCTAAGTACATGGGTTGAATATTGGGCTTTAAAGATTAACGGTCAGAGTCACCAATATTTTTTAAGATGAATATTTTGTATAAAACGTTAATAAGCTTTTTTATTTGAAAATGTATTGTCCTTGCAAAGAGATGTTATATGGTAAAATATATATTTGGCTACAAAAGCTAAAAAGCATGCATTTAAAATTTTAATTTTAATTGGTAAAAAATACACAGTTAACATTTTCTTTTTGGTATACAAAATTTTATATTAAAATTTTCTCTTCATAATTTCAAAATTATTTTTAGAAGTTTTGTTTTGAAGTCTTCTTCTCTTGTGTATATGTTTATATAAGGTGCAATAATTTGACATTAAAAATTAAAAAATTTAGTTTTTAATATTTATCTCATAAAATATCAATAAAAAATTTAAACAAATTTGATACATTATCAATATAAATTTTAATATATTTTTAATATATCTTAAAAAAATATGTTAATTTTATCTCACTAACCCGCATGATGAGTCTAAAATTTTCACTTCATTGAATTTGATAATTTTTCAAAGAGTATGATGAGTTTTTTTTTAATTTGTTGATATTGGACCTAACTTCAAATTTATGGGCTAAGGAAAATGGTACCAAACTTCACAGTCGGCGCCCGGAAATTGGAACCGAGTTCGACCTTTAGAAAATCGTTTCAATATGCTCGTGAACATCTCAAAGGGCCAAAAAGCCCAAAATAAAATTAAAAAAAAAAAGAGCTTCAATATGCTGACTTGGTCAAAGTTACCGTTAGGCGCAACTCCCTCTTGGATTTTCTGGACTATGTTCATCTTCGCGGTGCACAAGGAAGGCGGTGTTTCAACCTGTTTGACGGTGTACAAAGCACCTGCAGTGGTTTGATCCCCACAATGCCCTCGCTCGAAGCTTCCGGATCACGATTCCGGCTAATGTGCACAGGTAAGATCCCGCTCTCTGCATGCCTGATCTCCATATTCCCTTGCCAGCTCTCTTCTCTATATTCTTCTCTGCTTCTGTTTTGACTTTCTTCTCGTCTTCACGCTTCCTTATTGAGCTTTTAGGGTTTTGCAATGGAAGGTGGTGTTTAAGTGTACAAAGAAGCAGTGTTTCAATCTCCACTCGCCGGAAGCTTCCGGATCCGGTTCCCGTTAACGTGCCGCCGCCTCCACCACTGCACGTTGAAGAAAGCACATCGAAAATCGCGCTGCATGCTCCATCTCCACATTCCCTTCCCAAGTATCTCTATATTCCTCTCTTTTTCTGTTTTAGGGCTTTTAGGTTTCACATTGAAGTTTTTTTACTAGTAATTCTGTAGAGTTTAAGAAAAGAAAAAAGAAAGCACATGTAAGGCATGAAGTCATCTGTAACTCGGGACATCTTTACGTTTAAATTCCTTGTTTTAGAAATGTGGATATAGCTGTTGATTATTGCTGGTCATATCTAATCCCAAGTCTAAATGCTTGTACCGATTTAAGTTTTCAGTCCCAGAAAATCTTTTCACTTCGACATACTGAAGGAAGCTTTGTTGAGGGGAAACCATGACATAGACGCTTAACTCCCGTTGAATGGCGTTTATACTTTATAGGCACTCCAGTTGAATGGCGTTTCAAGTCAAATGTTGTGAAGACCCTGAACTACCGTTAATTATGGAGTTGGCAAATTGCAAGTGTTTGTCCTATTTTTGATGGCTATGAGCTCTGATATTGGCATTCACTCTCCATAGTGGCAAGAACTGGGGCCGTTCCATTTTAAAGGAAATATATTATATGAAAAGAAAAGAAAAGAACATTAAATAGAAACTTGGGAAACTCTACTTAGATCTAAGCACGCATTCTCATTTTTTGTGGTGTTTCTTTCCCTCTCCAGTGAGGGGCTTCCAGCTCTTATTTTCTCGTAGGGTTTGCAAGGAAGAATTTTTATGATTTTATCAAAATTTCAAACCGTGCCCAACTATAGGTTAGGTTCCTCCTGTTTTCCTCTTCAAAGTCTAATTATTATGACTCTGACTGTGATTTTCGTTTGCTTCGTAATAATATTAGTCTCTTACAAGTTGTTTGAAGCTTGAAAAAATCCCCTTTTAGTTGTCATTAGCCATTATTGTTCTGTTAGACTTTAGATGTATTTTGTCTGTGGCATTAAGGAAATTTGACTTTCTAGTCATTGAAATTGATTGAGATGCAGAAACACCATTGTCAGAGCTTGCAGCATAGTGTAGGAAATGTTTGTGTATAAGATTTTATTTGCCTTTTACCACCTAGGTTCATGGAAAACAGTGCAGTTATGGCCGTTTTTATTAATCGGAGAAGCTTGATGACGATATGGATGATACAATTCAAACTCAAAAGGAAGATCAGGAATAGTATGTGCATGACCTACCCCAGGTTTTACCTAATGCCTTTGAACAACCTTTGGTATGTAATACTCTTTCTTTCTCTTCTTTTTAGCGGATGGATGGGTTGTTAATCCTTTGATCCATTGTTA